TCATATTTAGGATCTCTTTAAATCATCCAATATGTACTTTTAGATTTCTTAGATTTTTCTTTAATTTTTATTTTTTTAGTATTTATACATATCTAAATTACACCGTTATTTGACTTTGCGCTTTTTACCGTTATTTTACCGTAATAGCCCGAAATAGCCTTAGCGACGCCTCACCGCTATGCGACGCTATCCGCTATCGATAACCTAAGAACAAATACAATCAATTTCAAATACTTTAATAACTTTGATTTGAGCTTGATCACTTGCTCTCCTGTGTCATCTACCCATTTGAAATAATTGCATCCCCTTCTTTCTCCTCTCTTATACTGTGAGCGTCCCTAAAGTTTTGTTGCTTTATTTTCTTCTTATTTGGAAGTCCATTCCTGTGTTCCGACTCTACAACCACATCCGAAACTGTCATACCAAAAATAACTGTGTGAAAGGAGGAGGGGGCTTGGGGGCTGAGGAGAAAGAAACAATGGGATCTTAAAGCAATGAGCTTTAGACTTTGAGAGAGAGAAAGAGGGGGGGGGGGTTTGGAGAAAAAGAGAATTTATATAAGGGGTAAATAAAATTTGACCATTGTTGCCATCAAGGGGGGCATAACGGTCCATCCAAAATAAAAATTTAATGTTGATAATATGAGTTACTTCTGACCGAGGGGTTTTTTTAAACAACTTACATGATTTAGAGCCCGGGGGTGGGGTGGGGGGTTATTTGGATATATCAAGATTGGAGGGGGTTGTCTGAAAACAAGGAAGATTTGGGGGGTCTTATATCATAAAAACTCTTTTTTCCTAGGGGGGAACTTTTTAGATGATTGATTTCGTAAAAGACACAGTATATATGGAGGTTTCTTGTAATTTACACTTTTCTCAGTTTCACCAAAAACTTTACTGTGGAAATTATCTTGTCAACTTCTGACTGCTTTTGTCTTTTGGTGTGTTGAACTTTGTGTAGGTGCTGCCTTACTGTTAAGGTAATACTCGCATTTGATTTTTATTTGATTTGTTTTGGTTATATGTTCTTTTCAGAAACTAATTGTGTCTGCTTTTGCAAACTTGTTACAGGGCCTGACGGAGAAGTTTAAGGAGAAGGACACGGCGTATTCAGGGTCCGCAACCTTCACTTACGAGTCCTTCATGCTAACTGTGCTGCCCTTCCTCATTGCTTAGATAAACAAACAAGTTGCTTGTATAATAAGCTTTTCCTTCTGAACCATTTTCTCCCAAGCGTCAGCAAACCTAGTGTGTATGCTTGCTCTGCTTTATTTTCTTTATGTCCATGATGGTATGACAGTTTCTTGATGTGTTATTTCCCCGTTATAGGTGTTTGTATTGCCTCTGTTGACGAGTTATTTTTAGCTTGTGGTACGAGTAGAACTTACAATGAGATAAAAGGAAAAAATTGTTAATTATCAGGTTATTGTGAAGTTACTTGTTACCTATATGCTTCCAGGTTCCCCCCCCTTATTCCTTTTAATTTTGGCTTCATCAAGTGGTTGGTTGTTATTGTGCCGCTTCATTGGGTGAATGGTTCGCATAGAGGGCAATTGAGGAAAGAAGAGGTTTCCTGTGCTGCATTATCGATTTTAAATCAGCGCAAAGAGTGCAAATTTAATTCAAAACTGTAAACTGATGAAGCTGTTGTCCTATTAAGTGAACATTAATTTCTTATCATTCAATGGGCATCTTGTATTTCAGAGAAATTGGGGATAATATAGTCCTTACTTAAGGACCAGCCTATCCAACTTTCAGGCATCAAGATACGTTTAAGGTGTGGGTGATTAATATAAGAGATTCTCAACGTATTATAAGATTCCCGTTCTTGAAAATCGGCCTAGAAAACTGAAAGAATTCTAGGATTATTCCTTCGAGCAAATACTTGTATACATACCTCTTCCGGTTTATTTATATCATACCGTATTTTCACACAAATTATACCGATTCAATGTATTCGTATGAAAGATGACATTTGCCTTTCTATTTGTTAAACTTTCTCCCTGTATTTGCTCTCAAACAGAGATAAGTTCCTCCTCTCGACAATTACTTAACTTACTAGCGTGTCAATCTCTTATTCATTTTACTACTTATCATATTCGAGAGTAGATTAACAAATTTTTTTTTGACATCTATTTACCTTTCTTTTTACACTGAAAAAAAAAGATCCTCTCCAAGAAGTTGGTGATTGAGGAGTGTCCAATTATCCTGATCGTATCCCTCTATTCTAATTCCAAAGGCTGAGATAAAGTTATGTAGGCTTCACACTATCACAATACTGGTTTTTCCGATAGTGATTTTGAAGACAATAGTGATTTTCAAGATAATATTTAGACTTCTATGTGGCTTCATCTCATCTTCTAAGTTTGGAATAACCGGCGGTGATTAAAATATTGAACACCCTTCAATTATCATCTAATTGTAGGGAATTACGATCCACAAAAAATCATTGCTGCACTGAAAGTAAAAACATCTTCATTTCCCTTTTTTCGCCAATGAGGATATCTTGCCATCTAATCTACACACGTCCGTGATTAATTAAAAAAACCCAATGCGTCTAACACGGTAGAACATTATTTTAAACATTTCCACTCACAAAAAAAAGAGAAAAAAAGAAAAAACTCTCACAGGCATGCTTGGATCCATTTTGTTCGAATTTATTGCTTCAGGGATTTATGTGCAAAACTTCCCAAAGTTCAGGGTGATTAAACTAACTTTACATGCTACTCAAGTTGGTCAAGTATGCAATTCCATACTCGACCCGGTTATGTAACATTAAATCAAACCCTATTAGTGCATATTAGTCCATTAAACCATCCTTATTTGCCACATAGGCCCTTAGATCTTAGTATTTGCTCATTAGTCCTCTAAATCTTTAATTTTCTTGCAAATTCATCTCTCTTGTTAGGTCAAGTTTATTTATGGCAGTGAACTTCTATTAATTTTAATGGAATTAGATGGTTTTCTTGTTATCCTCCCCATCCATAATTAATCATATCATCTAAAACATTACCGACTCATTTCAGAAAGGGTTTATAACCGCAACCGCTCTAATTAAAATCCAACATACCGAATTTTTTTTATCCAATGGTTAGGACCTTCCCCCAACTCTAATTCAATTTTTCTTTCCCCCGGAAAAGTATGGAAACAAGAGTGATTTGATCACTCGAGAGAGTAATTATATAGGGGTACTTGAGTAATTTTAGATGTTGGATTTAGGCTTAACCCAACTAGAGCTAGAAAAATTTAAAAATCGCTAACAGAGGGACAATTTTACAAGAAAATTGAAATTTTGAGGGACTATAGTCAAATACTAAGATTTGAGCGACGATTTGGCAATTACGTATGATGTAAGGGATTAATATGCAATTACCTGTAGGCGATATGTATAACCTGTTTACCGGGTCGGGTTCGAGTTAACCCGTTGGATAGTGACCCGTTTATGACAAAAGCAGCTCCCGTTTTAGCTCCCCTCTCCATCTAGGGTTTCTCTCTCTCTCTCTCTCTCTCAACCTAGAACGAAACCCTAGAAGCCATGGCGAATTACGACCTCACATCTCGAATCGCTCCTCATCTCGACCGCCATCTGGTTTTCCCCTTGCTCGAGTTCCTTCAGGAGCGCGGTTTTTACAACGACGATGACATCTTGAAGGCCAAGATCGAGCTTTTGAGCAAAACGAACATGGTTGATTACGCTATGGACATCCACAAGAACCTCTATCACACTGAAGAGGTTCCTCAAGGTCAGATCCGAAACCCTAGGTTTTTTATTCTTCTTTATAGTGTTAGGGTTCTTGATTTGAGTTTTGTTTGTTTTTTCTGTTTAGAGATGTTTAATAGGAGAACGGAGGTCGTTTCGAGGCTGAAATCATTGGAGGAGTCTGCAGCTCCTTTGATTTCGTTCCTTCAGAATCCGTCTTATGTTCAGGAGCTCAAGGCTGATAAGCAATACAACGTCCAGATGCTCAATGACCGGTTTAAGGTTCTTTTTTTATTTGCTATGGTTGTATTGCTGAATTTATTTGATTTAAAACTGAACAGAAATCTGCAGGAAAGTTGTTATTCTGCTATTGTTTACTTGAGATTATCAAATATCCTTGAAACTATCTAACGGTTTAGGGGTTAGTTGCAACATCAACATAAAAAAGTGAATTGGAAGCAGATTTTCTTAACATATTTCAGTTTGTTTGATTTTGGAAATGTGAGGAACAAAGTTAGGGCTTTGGAGTGTCAAATTGGCAAATTAGTGTCAATTTTGAAAACTTTGGCATCAAACTGACGAAATAAAACTTCTGGGTATCAAAGTTTA